TCCACTCACCTCGGCCTCCCAAAGTGCTAGGATTACAGGCTGAGCCACTGAGCCCGGCCGGATTTAAGATGTTGATGGCATGATACATAATTATTTTCTTTTTCTTTCTTTTTTTTTTTTTTTTATAAATTCTGTAATTTGGAAGAGGGTGAGTGATTAATTTCCAAAATACACTTCAGAGTCCCACCTTCCACATAGCTCCCTTACTCACAGCCCTTTGGTTTTTCAGACAATATTTAAGAGCCCTCATAAAGCCAGAAGTACCGATAGTCCCTCAGTGCACCCCAAAGCAGTGTTCAATCCCTTACAAAGACTATGTTCCACAGACTTTGCTTCACCCTGTACGTTTGTCTGTGGCTCCGTGGTAAGGTGGCTGTAGAGACACATCAGGGTAAGTGGAAAAGGGAAACAAGGGGAAACCCAGGCATGTGGGTGCAGGGAGGGCGGGAACACCACCTCCAATTTCCTTTGTCTTTTCCTTTAAAAAAAAAAAAGGCAGGGGTGTGATTGGCTGGAAGGGTAGAGAACAAACCCCCGAACAGTATGTAAGCTCCAGAGGTGGGTGTGGGAACAGTCCCCAGAGAAGTGAGAAGGGGAAAGGTCAGGGCAATGCTTGCAGCATCAAGTTCCTCAGGAGTTTCTGTCGGTCTAGCTCATAGGCCTCCTCGTCCACATTCACCAGAGCTTGATGGCTTCATGGCCCACAGCTTGCTTAAGGAAGTCTGTGATGAAGACACCTTTAAGTGCCTCTAGTAACGAGCCATTGATGTAGTCATGCCAGAATGCATCGAGGCAGGTCAGCTCAGAGAACTTGATGTCACAGATGATGGAGCCCAGATTCCGGGACTTGAGGATGGTGTTGGCCTGGTTAAAGCGCTCAAACTGGCGCTCAAGTGGGTCCTGCTTGTTAGAGAAGACATTGCCCTGCAGAGCAGTCTCGTGCTGGCAGTATTCAGCCCGAACCCGCAGCCTGATGTCACATGTCTGCTTTTCCTTGGGATCTGGTGTCACTGACTTCCGGCGTTTTAGCTGGCTCCCAAGTGTGGCTCTCCCCTGGGCTGGCCGCTTGCTACACATCTGAGGACTCGAAGTGGAGCAGCACACCACAGGATAATGGGGAGGCACTGTTTTAGGGGGCTGGGGAGGCCTCAGTTCTGGATCACTGAGAGCTCTGGGGGTCACATAGCGAATCGATGTCTCCTCCAGATACTTGTCTACAAGATCAGGGCACACAGCCCGTCTCCGCTTGAGGGTGACATAGGGCAGCAGGTCATGGCGAGTGATGATGCGCAGCACCTGCAGCACCTGGCGAAAGTTACTCTCATCACAGCGGCCCTGACGCTCCAGCGCCAGTAAGAAGTCACGTCCATTCCGGATGAGTCCACGCTCGTGGTCATCAATGACATCAACAAAGAGGAAAGAAAGCACACGCACATCTCTGTGTGTCAGATGGGTGCCCACAATATCAAACATGCGGTGCAGGCTATACAGCCCGTGCTCCTGCTCGCCATGCTCTTCTGGCCACACCTGGCTTGCCCGCCGCTTGAGGCCCGCCATGCTGGGAGCTCAGGTGCGCAATACTTTCCAGAATCTCTGCTCAACAGCTGCAATCCCCACTGTACTGGAAGGACAGGGAAAGAACCTATGAGCCACTCAATGGCAGGAACTAGTCTTACTGATTCCCATATTCCCAGTGCCTAACACAATGCCTGGCACAGTATAGCACTTTATTAAATTTTAGAAAGTTAGTTAAAAAATAAACCCTACAGATATCCATCCCCAACAGAAACTGCCCTAAATCCAGACTCTACAGGAGAAATATCACTTCCCCTAAGTGAAAATGTTGTATACAATTTTAATGCTATATATTTATCAAAAGTTGCTATTAGGTATTTCCTGATTGTTCTTTCCTCCAAAACTCTGCTTTTGGTCTCTTGAAAACTCTGCTCAACTCCCCCTCAACCAGTTCACCATTTTTTTTTTTTTGAGTTGGAATCTCAACCTGTCGCCCAGGCTGGAGTGCAGTAGCATGTTCACGGTCACCGCAGCCTCGACCTGCTAGGGTCAGGTGATCCTTCCGATTCAGCCTTCCAAGTAGCTGGAACTACAGGCATGTGCCACCATGCCTGGCTATTTTTTGATTTATTGTAGAAACAAGGTCTTGCCAAGTTGTAGAGCCTGGCCTCACCTCTTAAATATAGGCAAAACTGAGAAGACAGAGAGAATTCACTTTTACCTCTAATACAGAAGCTATATCAGATAAACTAAGGGAATGACAATTGGGAAATTAAAAGTCTTTAGAATGGCTGGACGTGGTGGCTCATACCTAGAATCCCAGCCACTTTGGGAGGTTGAGGTAGGTGAATCACTTGAGGCCAGGAGTTCAAGACAAACCGGGGCAACATAGCAAGATACCATCTCAATTTTTAATTTATTATTTATTTATTTATTTTTTTGAGTTGGAGTCTCACTCTGTCACCCAGACTGGAGTGCAGTAGCCGCTCCTGGCCACCTCAGCCTCCACCTGCTGGGCTCCAGCGATCCTTCCGCCTCAGCCTTCCAAGCAGCCGGAATGACAGGCATGTGCTACCACACCCGGCTGATTTTTTGATTTATTGTAGAGATGCAGTCTCCCTGCCCAGGTGGATCTCGAACCTGCGGGCTCAGACAATCCACTCAACTCAGCCTCCCAAAGGCGGGGGATTACAGGCTGAGCCATCGAGCCCGGCTCCATCTCAATTTTT